GAACATTCTATGTTTAGTTTCCAATCTAAAATAAACCTTTAAAAGTCGTTTGGGTAAAGCAGACAAAATCATAGTATTAAGGCCTCAAATCTAAGCTTTCAAAACAAACGTCGGGCTTAAATTATTAACGAGTTAAGTGGTTCTTGCCATTTACATTTTCTTAGCAAGAAACACAAGTCACGTATTAATCTGTATTAGAAAATATATTTAATAAAACGTTTTGGTTAGAATATTTTTTTCATGCTATACATTTTAAAACTGCCTAGAAAATCATCAATTATTATTAATTGGTATTAAAAAAACATTTTTGACATTTGCTGTACACTTAATGTGTGCATAAGGGCCTGCACCTTTACATGATATTATTATATCGTTATTTTGCACAAATAGAGTTAATATGTTTATATAATATATTTTGAGCAAAAATAAGTTTTATAATTCAAATATTTCTGGATAATTACATGAAAGTTACATATATTATAGACATCAAATAAAAAAATTCACATTTTACTAGAAGTTTGATTAAAATATTGTATTTAAACGGGTTAATAATATCTATTTTTAGCCTAAGATAGTCGAACGGTCGATAATGCATTTATAATTTTCTCAGTATTTCACATCATACTAAATTCATTATTTTCTTTTAATACCCTTTATATTGTTTCATAGTAAATTATTAAAAATAATTAAAAATACTTTCCTATTTGTATAATATCACATAATAACTTTTGCAAGTACCTATTTGTATGAAACATTCATATTATACATATTTTATGCATAAGGTACCTACAAACACTACGAACACGGGGGGGCCATTATTTTCTTGAAGACTTAATAAAAATAAAAATAAATATTCTTTGCATAGTATTTTGAAAATTTGTGTGCATATTCTACAATATTTTTTGAATGAAGAACCGGGAAATGGTTATGACTACCCACCTAGGCTGCTAAAATTAAGTTAGTACCTAATACAAAATTAAATATGTAAATTGTGTGTCGAACAACTAGCACGTCATAATACGTGGACTTACTCTTAATAATTACAAATTCGATCTCTTGGAGTCATTTTATGCAAGACATATTATAATGCACGTAAATAAATGCCCAACCCGGCATCCCAGTATTATATACCTAAAATATATAATACTAAATAAGTATTATTGTATTAATCACACATAACTCATAAAATGATATAATTATATACTACCATCAGGTTCGTTAAAAAAAATTTAGAGGAACACATCCTACAATAGTTTGTCATACAATAAGATGAGTGAAATTACAAATGAATTTATCAAGGCCCTTGAAAACGATTCTGTAAAATAATTTGCTGATAAATTGGCAATGTTACTGGAAATCATTTGGAAGACTTTGGGAACGATTAACAGAAAATACATAAAGCTCGACGCTGTCGAAAGGAGCGCATATAACTGAAAACAATAGACTTTTGATTTTTTTCTCATAAGTCTTATACTTGAGACAATAGAGATAATGATTATCTCCATCTTGCGGCAGAAGTGTTTGGCGTTGGCTTGAGAGATTATTCTTGTATTTCAGTCCGGACTTTAAGTTATTTAAGTCTTAAAAAAAAAAAATAAGGAAAGAAACATCAAGCGAACGCATAAAATGGCCTCAATAGGAACAAAATTATTGGTTTAGTTGCATAAATAATATAAATGACCGGGTACTAACTTCACTTAAATCAAAAAAAAAATAATAATAACGAATTACATATTTGATGGATAAAAAATGTTATTAATTTTGGTTCCGAATTCCGTTTATTATCACGAAACTATTACGGTGTATTGACGTGCAGACGTGCCGACGTGCATAGATAACATAATGAATTAGGTATTAATATTAATATAAGGTTTGTTGAACATTAAAGAGCAGAATTCGAAGCACATAGAGAAAACATCACATCGAGCATACAACATCGTCGAATAAAATTAATTTTACAAATTATATAATATCATACTTAGTATAGTGAATAAGAATTCCTGTTGGTATTCGACCTCAACAGTGCAGTACTCGACGGCTCGAAGGATAATGCCCGTGCACTGCAGGCTGTGTAATGTTTACCGACAGTACCTACCACAATGTGAAATGTGAAGTTTAATCATGTACCACCGGTTTCGAGTGGCCCGCGTATAATCAGCATACGTCTGTGTTCATTGAGCACGTTCGAGTCGTCATAATAAATTTCACACGATGTATTATTTATAGTAAATCATGCTCGTATTTACTTCAATCGATTACGCGGAATCGTTGTTTGTCCATAAATCAAGTAGGTATTTAGAAATTATTGTTCGATTGTATTAGATTTCAGTCACATCATAAATATGCGTGGTTTCCGCCGAGAACATAACTTATAACCTAACTGCGTTTAATCACGTTGCCCTATATTGTAATATTGTACAACATTATCAAGACAGTGTGTAGTTATCAATCTTTCATAAGGGGCCTCATGAATGCTCATTTTTTTGTTGTCGAAAACTGTTTCTAATTCCAACGATACGTAGTTTTCGACAATTGCCACGACTTTTATTCTAAAAAAATATTCGGATTCTCCATAATATGCACAAGAAAACGATAGAGCCATGTTTATAACTGTTGTGATTTAGACTGCAATGAACGTTGTTATAATTTTTAAAAATTTAGCAAAAGTTCAAACTTAAACATTTAATTAACTAAAATTATACAAATGTGACTCGATCGATCCCTCGTACATGTTGTAGAAAATTAAAATATTTTATGAAAATGCAAATCGTTGAAACACATTGTTGAAATTAGGGTTAAAATAATACTACAACTACAGGAGACCAAGTATCAAAAACATTTATAAAAGATTTGTGTTGACAACGGCGACTTCACGGACCGACCAGCTGACATTAACCATAACTAATTTGTTGTATATAGAATATATGTTATACATACATTTAGATACTATGCGAACATCAAATATTTCTTCGGATATTAGAAAGAGTAAAGTATAATAATGGAAGTAGATTAAAATTAAATAATAACTTAGGAACCTCTTTGAAAAATAAATTATTTATTTTCAAAAGTAAAAGTTATGATGGAAACTATAGGGAAGATACTAGATAGAGGGTTTAACAATATTTTAAGGTAGAAAATGAAGAAAGTTCACATGAAGCGTTGAAATATTTCGAATACGTCATTAGACAGTTATACATAATTACTATGAAAACAGTTCCAAAAAGTGTTTTAGCGGATTTATAAAACGCGGTTGTTAGGTGGTGCGTCGTACTTGAACTCAGCATTACAAATATCAAATATTTGGTAATGCATAAAATCCAGATCCCAATAATTCAAGTACACCACATTGTTTGCCCAACTATTGTAGGGTCATGTGTACATTTTAACGCTAGGTGTAAGCTTATCATCCCAAAGTTCACAAGTGGAATGTATGTGAAATGATGCGCCAAGTGCCAACCAAGCCCAACAAGTCAATAACCACACATTTAGATAGATTTTGTGTATGAGTTTCGTTACACAACGCCAACTTAACTGGGTAGTTTTTGAAGTTGCACACTGAACGCTATTCGTGTAGTAATCATGAACAGTCATCAATGTGACTGACGTGAAATTTGTAACTAAAATAAACGACCTACTGAAACTATGCGACTGCAGATTTCTATAGATTTTTTATAGGTAAGTCTTATATGTTGTTTTGTTTCGATAAAAAAAAAAGTAGACGATCGTGATACTGAGCACGTGATACGTTGCCTCATTGGTATCCCATTGGTATTTTAGCCATTGGCCAGCATAATACGATATTATCGTTCCGTGAATTCGAATGGAAAATGTTTCTATGAACACCATACCGTGACTTGCAGAAACGGGGCTAATTTAATATTATAGCGATTGGTTATCAATAATTATTATTTTGTGCAATAACCGATTATTATTATTATTATTAATCTAAGATACGATACTGGAGGTAGATACTAGATGGGTCACTTAATTCAGTTTTCGAGGAATTTCAGCAATAATTAATTACCTAGTCAGTTGGTATTAAAAGTCAAACATTTTATGGGAATGATTGCTTACCAATGGGCAGAAATCATGGCATGATAAGTGATATTGAGAAAACTACAACATAGCTGATACAAAAAAAATGACATAGGTATTAACATCGATGTCACAGTACCACGGAATTATTATTAGATCATACATATATTATAATCTATAAATGTAAAAAAATACATGTATGATATAATTGTTCCAAAATTAGTAGGACATAAGTGCCAGTGTAAAAATATACCAATAAAATAATAATGTGACACTAGCGCCAGAGATATTAAAAATAAATATCATTTGCACCAATATCAAAATCCTGTAATAAAGTTATTTCGAAATATTCATTAATTCATAATTTATAATCGTAAAAAATATAAGTCTGTTTTTGTTAAAAATAATATGAATATTCAACAACTAGTTTATTCGTAATTACATTGTAAAATTAATTTTCACAGCAGTACCAATAGATTAAGTGAATGCTTACTCCGTAGTACTTACGATGTTATGTCATAAGTTATAACACAAAAACCCCGATGTCCTTTCGACTATTGTAATCAATTTTATCGATTTATATTGTAAGATTGTAGTTTTTGAACCAAAATTTCTGCATTTAATATCTGGAATTAAGCGCACAGAACCTGGTAGATGTCTGATACCTGGGATTTTGGCAAATTTATACGATACGATTTCTTTTCGTCTTATCTCGTGTTGGTGCTTATGATAAAAAATAATGATTGTGCGCGTCTGTTAGTCCTCGGTAATCTCGAAAACCACAAAAACTCTCGATTCACATAATACTATTATAGGTCCGGTTGGCGTACCTACTCCCCCATTGGTATTTTATTTTGGTTAAGTGCCACGGAGAAAAAAAAATTACCGCAACGTTTGCAGGGTCAGCGCTATAATTGTTGGTATCCGTTTTTTTTTTCAAACCTTTTCTTTGGTTTGTTTTGCAGCAACAGAACCCACGGCGGCAGCGACCGCGGTCAAATCGGTCACGGCGGCGATCGCCATGAACGACACGTCGGACGACAACATTTACGAACCGTACTCGAACCGACCGGAGACGTACATCGTGCCAGTGGTGTTTGCCTTGATTTTCGTCGTGGGCGTACTAGGCAACGGCACGCTGGTGTTGGTGTTCATCAGGCACCGGAGCATGCGCAGCGTGCCTAACACGTACATACTGAGCCTGGCACTGGGCGACCTGTTGGTCATCATCACGTGCGTGCCGTTCACGTCCACCGTGTACACGGTCGAGTCTTGGCCGTACGGCGAGCTCATATGCAAGCTCAGCGAGGCCACTAAGGACGTGTCCATCGGCGTGTCCGTGTTCACGCTGACCGCACTTAGCGCCGAGAGGTGAGTTTTGACTTTTTGAGTGAGGTTTTGTTTTAAAAAAAAAAAATCGAAATTCAACAGCATGATAGGTATTTACGTTTGTATTTTATAAAATGATTTTAAACGAAAATATAGTACCTAACTTATGATATGATGATATCATGTATCAGTGGACGATGATAACAACCCGATAAATAATTAATATAACCGAGACAGGGCTAAAAGACATTTTTCAATACAAATAAAACGTAACTTATAAACAATCAAATTTCGGAAATTTAAAGGAAGTAAGTTATAGTGGTAAGAGTACTTTTTGAGTTGACTTGAAACCACTTCACAACTTGCTCTTAGGCGTACTTATTAAAATCTAAACGGCAGCATTGTCATCGAGATAGACTAATCCTCGACATGAATTTTCTCTAAGTGTCAGTAACTAAATAAATTTAATGTTTGAATGGTGGTCTCGTGGGAAAAAGCTTCCTAGTTCAATAATTGTAAATGCTAAACATTAATAAACTAATTTAAAAATATGTACTGTTATTCCAAATTTTTATAATTAGGTATATTTAGGTTAAAATGTGCCTATCACTTTCGATTTCTAAATTTTTTATTGACGCTTAATGTGAAGTTGTAACAAGTTACATACAGCTAACATTCGTTTAATCTTAGATATTGTTTGGTTTCCTTGACAACCGTAACGGTCAGGAAAAAAATGCTTTCTAGCACTGCAAAGACATTTATTATGATTTTTATTACACAGATGCCCCCTTCCACCCCAAACAAACGAATTATGCGTACCTACACCAATGATCCGAACATTTAGTATTTGATGGTGGTAAACATTTTCAAACCAATATTTATCATTTATTCGATCTAATATATACTACACATTTCTATAATTTTATGATGCGAAAACCCTTGAAACCATTTTTCGTTTCGATTTCATGGCCATTGTTATGGTTTCAATAGAATACCTCATGTAAACGGCACACACACTTCCCTGTAACAGTTATTTTTAGAATGTTGAGCTAAAATAAAATCCCATAGCTTATACAAATCATAAATAATATATTGTTATATAATAACAACTATAAATTATTATTAAGTGATTTTCAATAAAATGCCAATGATTTGTAAAATTTTTAATTGTATACCTAAATGTAAATCAAGTACCCGTTGATTTAGTTTCCACCTGTTTTGTTATTATTATAAAAGAAAATATTTGCAATCCGTATACATACATAAATACAATATTACAATATAAGTAAAAATTTTGAGTATGTAAAAATATAAATATGTGACAGTTTGAGTTGTGGGTTGCCCAGTGACCCCTCTAAAAGCACTCCCAGTTTTATGTTTAGATATTAATTTCCAATGTATTCTACTTTATAGGCTATTCAATCCATTTTGAAACAAAATAATATGACAATTAAGATGGTTATATAAAATTCATTGAACTTAAGAAAAGTAAATTGTTATATTATTAACTTATTTCAATTATTTTTAATTGTTAAAAAATAAAATAAATTAAATTAAAAGCTAACAATTGCAGTATTCTCAAATTTATAATCAATGTATTTAATTTAACATTTTAATCTATGTTTTACTGGTAAAAAATGTATGTGTACCTAAAATAATATGTATCATATTATCCGATAGTTTGTATATTATACTTCAATATTTTAATTTTAATCTATTTCTAACTTGTTATTTCTTTTAGGGGATTGGAAATGAACGGTTTTTAAGGAGTTCAAAATAGGCAATTTTCAAATTTGTTGCATGTGGGTCTTGTATGGTGCGTATAGTAAGGGAGCATTAGAGTGTGTGACTGTGTGTAAGTAAAACAATAGAACGCTCCAGCATGCGCACTTACAGGTCGCCTAATCTGGGTTACAAGCGTAAACGGTGAAAAATATAATATGCTCATTTGTATGTAGTTTTGTCAATCCTACCGATTTACCTTAAAACGCGATTATACTTCTTAGAACTGATCTGAATTCATTTATAAGTTTCTTGCGATCGATCAGGCGACATTTTCATATATTTAATTTAATTTTCGAATAATCAACATTTAAAATTTCGTAATTTAAAGGTAGACATGTTATTAACGAGTTTAAATCAGTTCCCAGAAATTAGTATGTTTGATAGGTAATTAGTTAGTAAGTTCATCGGTATGATTGGCAAGAGATTGGAACATTTTGGTCGAAATAATTGTCCGTTTGTAGTTCTCTGAATAATTATAGGTATATGCCTTGTTGATAATGTAATAGTTTCAAACAATTAAAAATATTTTTTTATTATTTTTATTTGTATTGCCTCTACTTAACACAATATTTTAAAATAATTGACAGTATAAAATATAGACTCATTAAAAAGTATAGTATATATGTCCTCACCCATATAAAAATATATTACATTAACGTTATCATAATAATAACATCATATTAAGTAATGTCATTTATTAACGACATTTTTAAATGAACAAGTAAAATGGCTAATGAGAAATATATGTATATAAAGTATAAATTATTTTTGTGATAAATCAAAACGACAAAATGTTTATTCACATGCACTTTGAATTGTATAGTACCGTACTTGTTGTGGCATTTCCATTTTAGTTATTACTCAAACGTGAGCATAACAATTTAAAAAAAAATTATTTTGGGCGTATAAAACTTTATTTATTGTGCGTATGTAGTTTGTTTCAACTGATATATATTTTTCTATGAGTCGTGGTATGAATACTGAATGCTATTTATTCTTCTCTGTGTACTCCATTTAACTATTAAATCAATTCAAGTTAAATTCAATTAAAATAAATAAGATATTTGTACTATACATATAGGCTGTTTATCTATACAGAGTGATTCAACAATCAATCTTTTTTCTTCTTCAATGATACAGATATTCGAAATCGGATTTTCGGAATTTTTAAATATACATAAAGACTATGGTTTCAAATTCTTAAGTTTGTTTGTTCTATCTACTTAAGGAGTGTCCATAAGGAGTGGCCATAAAAACTTATTTTCTTCAAATTCTATCACTTCTACAGTTATTTTAACTATTAAATTAAGAACATATCTATTTAGATAATTTTTCTGAAAATATTGACGAACCAAAATCAAAATTCAAACTTGTAGTTTTTGAGTTATTCAAATGTTTCTATTAAGGATATAGTTCCGCGATAGTGGATTTGAAAGATATGGAGGGAATGATAATTTAAAATGTTTGGTAATTTATATTAATTTATCAATATTAAAAAATTATAAAAATGGTCAGAGCATCATAAATACTAGATTCAATATTACATTATTACATATTAACATCTCATTTATATTTTTATACACTCATTTTTAAAAATTATAATTTACATTTGAATAGCTAAGAAACTAACCGTTCGACTTTTTTATCAGGTATATTCATAAAAAAAATGTTTTAAACAAATATTCACTAGATACTATAAAGTGAAAAAGAGGGGTTTTTATTTCAAAACATAATTTTTTATCACCAAACAAAAATCATTTGGAAGTCCAATAAATGTCATGAATTTGATAATATTATTTGATATATTATTTAAATATATTTAAAAATTCCAATTCAAAATAAATGTGTAATTATTTTATTAAATGATAAAATGGGGAAGGCTTGTTGAATTATTCTGTATATTCTAATAAGCAAAAATTAAACCCTTATTTCTAATAAATAAAATTATCATTTAAGATGTGATAACGAACAGCCATCGATTTTTATAATTTAACATGACATTTGAAAATATTTTCCTTACTGTAATAATTATAATAATTACCAACATATATGGTACATATATATATATATATATATAATCATATGTCGGTGAACTTTATATAGTGTATGCAAACATGTCTTTGTTAATTATATTACGTTTTTACATTTATAAAAAATTAAAATTAAATTACGTCAAGGTTAAGCTACATTTGGTAAATCGACTTACAGCCTCGTTCATAAATTAAAACTACATTTTACTGTGAAAGTCGGAAATTTAGTAATACAATTTTCACTTACCTGAAATGAAAATTTGTTTTTGTGCAAACATTATTTTTGGTGGTAATCGATTTATATTGTACGTTGTCTAAACATTGTAAAATATGCCTTTGTGTTGATCTCATTCAATTTGTATTGGTGTACCTACATATATATTGTGTTGAGTGAAGGTGTGAATCAAATAAGTTGAAACTCAAGGGTTAATATAGGAAGTTAACAACTTAAAATGTTAAAAAAATTTAAATCCTATAACAAGGATAATAACTATGTACTTAGACGCATATAGACTTATATATATATATATATCCGGATATCAATTTTTCATATAAGCATACTACTTGAGATTAATGCTATTAATTGCTAATAATATTATAATGTAATATAACATATTAATACAAATTATTATAGTATATGTATATATTTTGATCATTGTTAATATAGATTGTAGAAACTACAGAACTTTGTGGATAAATCTAATACTCTATAACATACTACTTACAAAGAATCTATAGTATAATATAGGTGATAATGTTATACCACACATTTCTTAGCTTGACGATTAAGGTTAGATGAGGATGATGGTAATAATAATATTTTATTATATAACATAATATTATGCTTAGCTGCTTAGATTGTATGATTGTATGATAATAAGAATAATAATAATATAGTGGCTTGGTATGGTGCCTGACTAGTGACTTTAGTCAAAAATGTACTCTGACTGTCAGCACCAGCCGGTGTCACTAGTTCCAGGATGAATGACCAGCCGGGTTCCAAGTGGTAAATCCTTGTCATCCAAAACCAACCATACTCTCCCCTACAGTTAAAAAATCTACTAAAAAACCACTGAATGGCCTATGTTACCAATAAAAAAATAATAATAATATGTAATAATAAAATGTGTTGTTCATCCGTTTAGGTACTGCGCCATTGTGAACCCCATCCGACGGCACGTGTCATCAAAGCCGTTCACATTGATGACAGCCGTAGCCATATGGATATTGGCCGTGGTCCTGGCCACGCCGTCGGCCACGTTCTCGCACCTGGCCACTGAGTCGATACCCAATACGAACCTGACCATCGAGTACTGTTACCCGTTTCCCATGGAACTGGGCAGCGGTTACGCGCAGGGCATGGTGTTGTTCAAGCTGCTCGCGTACTACGTGGTGCCGCTGTTCGTGATCGGGTGTTTCTACCTGTTGATGGCCCACCACCTGATGGTGTCCACGCGCAACATGCCCGGCGAGCTGCAACACGCCGGCCAGTCGGGCCAGATCCGGGCCAGGAAGAAGGTGGCTAAGATGGTGCTGTTGTTCGTCGCCATATTCATGGTCAGCTTTCTGCCGTACCACGTGTTCATGGTGTGGTTCCACTTCAACCCATACTCGCGGGACGAGTACGACGACTACTGGCACGCGTTCCGCATCGTCGGCTTCTGCCTGAGCTTCATCAACTCGTGCGTGAACCCCGTGGCGTTGTACTTCATTAGCGGAGTGTTCCGCAAACACTTCAACCGGTACCTGTTCTGCTGCTTCCCGTTCGCTCGGTCCGGCCCGGCCACCGTCGAGTCCACCATCCAGGACATCAACTTGACGCACATCAACAGCACGTCGTGCCGGCGACTCAACTCGGTCGTCACCAGCCACGCGACGACGCTCAGCCACGCCACCTGACGGGCGGCCGGCGGCAGCAGGCCCACCGCCAACGGCAAACGCCCCGAAGACTGCAACGTCGTCTGATAACGATATTGTTGTATTATAACGCCGGTGACGATGGCGGCGATCGCGTGGTATACGCGAAACAGATATACCGTTAAAATACTTCGTCCTGGTAACGTTAGCGATGCTATCACAGATCTCGGTATAATGTATAATAACATCTTTGGTTACCTGCAACCGGACTCGAACTACGTACCACATCGTTATTGTATGGTATAATAATATTATAACCAACGATCTAACAGTTGGGCGACTGGTGATGGATTTTTTTCCGTTCGGGGGACGTGTCATCGGTTACCACACGCAGACACAAGGTGCTTCGAACGGCGGTCCTCGCCGCTACTGTTATGCTGGTGACGTTGGTACCGTTGATGGGGGTGGGGGCACCTATAATTAGGTTCTTTTGCATCCGACCGCAATTTTTCGCGAAACATGTGTTACAATTTATGACATAAAACAATATGTATTTGTACACTTAAATTTGAGCAACGCTCCTAAATAATGTCGTTGATAAGCTCTCGACAAAATAAATAGGTATATCATCAAAGTTGCAATAGTTTTTTTTCTTTCATTATGTGCATCTCCTTCACCTCCAACTCATGTATCGTAGTTCTTCACCTCTGATTGGTTTATTTTTATATATATATATGATTGACAGCCAATAAAAAATGGAAAACTACGATATATACGAAGTAAAGAGACGAGGATGATGGGTGTCTAAAAAACTATGATGATACCTATATATTTTGTCATGGATAAACTGCTCACCGAGGTCAATCACAGCGCCTTTTTATCGAACGCATTATCCCCCCCCCCCCCCC